GGGGGGCGGGGGGGGGGGGAGGACCTTGTGGCGAGGGGAAACCATTACAGAGAGAAGTGAAGATGCACACTCTCAAATTCGGAAGGATGCTTCTAAGTACAATTGAAGTGGTTGGGGGACTGGAGAAGAATGTTCTTTGCTATCAAAGGGATCTATCGAACCTGATCTGTCTACCCCGTTTATCCTGATGATCCTGGGGAATTTGGTGCAACAGTGGGCAGTGATTTCCCTTGGGTGTTAGAATATCATATTAACAGATTTCAGGTATTTAAATGGCAGGTTTTGTCACATTGCTTTCTCTGCATTAAAAAGTGGGTGGTGGCACTCGGTTGCTAGAGAACTGGGTGGGTGGCCCATCACTACCCTCAGTCTTCCTGCTTCGTGGTTTGAGACCGCTTACTGTCTGCCCCTCTGTCTGCCAGGTAAACAGATTCAGGTGTTGTCGGGCCATCTGCAGTGGGTTTACTGCTGCTCCATCTCCCCGGACTGCAGCATGCTCTGCTCTGCAGCTGGAGAAAAGTCGGTAAGTCTCACACATCAGGTGTTATTTCCTCTGTTGTGTTGGTTCGGCAAGCCCTGGAGGTGTAGCCGCCTTGTATGTGAGAGGGCAAGGCAGCCCAGCATCTCAAACCCGGCCTCCTGCATCCCTCCCTTTCGATTTGCACTTCGACATGAGCCAGAAGAGGAGGTTAAGTTTATGTAGATCGCTATCTTCATTGGAGGCCTGTTTGTCTTGACAAATGGGAAAGGGGTGCTTTTTAAATTTCTTTTCCCCTTAGAGAGTCTACGATTTCAAAAGTTGCAACCCATGTATGGATCCAGATTTCCTTTGAACCATCTAGTTTATAGTTACCTAATTAGGCTTTTCATTTCAGATCATAAAATGTACAGCTACTTATTGAACTTTGCCCTGACATCCTGTCCGTTATTTTTAAAGAAGTATTAGAAACCCAAGAATACTTTGGGAACAGTTTTGCATGGAGCTGTGTGCTGTGGCTGACTTGGGAAAGTTAAGAATGCACTGTTTGGTGCAGCCCAGGTGGTTAATCATTCATTGGAGGTTTGGAACTATGTGAAAGTGAGAGTTTTCTTAAAGGAAAGGAAATAAAAGCCTATTTGTAATGACTCAGGAATGTTGACAGTGATGAGCTGTGTCCGAGGTGCAGTGCGGGGCAGCGTTCAATGGCTCTGAAGCACACGGGGTAAAATGGCATGGCAGATTCGGGGCTGGTGGCCCTGGGGTTCACTCTGACCCCGTTTTTGGTATTAAATGAAGGGACAAGCTAGCATGTGGCTTAGGTCTTCATCCACACATCCTGCGTGTTTGCAAACAGCGCTTAGAAGCAGAACTCGGACGCTTCTACTGACCCATGTCAGCTGGCAGTCTTCCTGAGGTTGGCCCTGTTTGCTCCTCCTTGGGCATGTCCATTGGTTAGGCACCTCGAGAATGCGGACTGTTACTTTATTTAAGCCTATGGTACATTTTGGAAGAGCTGTAGAAAAAAGGGTGGGATGTGGCTCCCTCTGGCCGTGGGGCCTGAAGTGGGCACTGCTCACATTCTAAATACTATGTTCCCGCCCCTAACCAGGCCCCTGTCGCTTTCCACAGGTCTTCCTATGGAGCATGCGGTCCTACACATTAATCCGGAAGCTAGAGGGCCACCAGAGCAGTGTTGTCTCTTGTGACTTCTCCCCTGACTCTGCCTTGCTTGTCACGGCTTCTTACGACACCAACGTGATCATGTGGGACCCTTACACTGGCGAGAGGCTGAGGTCACTCCAGTAAGGACCTGCATCCCTGCTTACGGCTTCCTTGTGGGGTGACTGATGAGAAACCTGTGTTGGATGAGACATGTCCCTTTTAGAGTCGGGGCATGGGAGGGGCATCCTGGGTAAAAGACGCGGTGGGTTCAGTGCTTATTCTGAGGCTGGTGTACAGTAGTGCTTTCTTGTCAATTAAGTTCTCAAATTAGACCCAAATGCCTTCAACCTTCCTGCTAAGTGAGACTTCTTTGGATTCAGCATTAAGAAACCTCAAAGTGACTCTTTTTTTCCATTTACTAATAACTGTAGTAACAAGTTCAGAACGATCCTTTTATCGAAACTGCTATTTCCATAATGAATTTTCATGTTTGCACAAATTTGGTCTATTTTTCTCCTTTATCTCTGTTGTTTTATGAAGCGAATAATAGGTAGTCCTATAATTATCATGTATCTGAGCCTAAAAAAGACTTTCAGTTTGTACCGTGGCATTCAAGTGAGGGCTGACCTACTTTGCATAAGGAAACCAGCACAGGGAGTGTTAGCAACCTTCGGCCCCCTCGGTAAGACACTGGGAGCCTTAGTAAATGCACTTTTCTCCAGTCTTCTTTTCTAGTCCGCAAGTCCCAAGGTTTTCCATATGGGGTACAAGATGCGTCCTGAGCCTTTTCATAGCCAGGTAGTTTGGCCTCCTGCCTGGGGGTGAAGGTGAAGGGTGAGGGGTGGCCATCACTCCTTACTGTCCTGTTTCTTTCTCCTCAGCCACGCCCAGCTCGAACCCCCCATGGATGACAGCGATGTCCACATTAGCTCCCTGAGATCTGTGTGCTTCTCTCCAGAAGGCTTGTACCTCGCCACTGTGGCGGATGACAGGTAACGAGAGGCTCTCTGCATGTGGCCACGGAGCAGGTGCTCGCGCGTCACTGTAGCGTTTCCCTGGGGTCTGGCCCCAGGTTTGCTAATGTGCAAACATGCTTTTCCTTCTCATCCAGACTCCTCAGGATCTGGGCCCTGGAACTGAAAACTCCAATTGCATTTGCTCCCATGACCAACGGTCTTTGCTGCACGTTTTTCCCACACGGTGGAGTTATTGCCACAGGGTATGTATCTGAGCTGAACAGATGGGCAGCCATTTCTGCAGAGTGTGCCATGGAGCTTTTTAAGGAAAGAAAGCATTTAGTTTTCCTGCCTGCGAGGAAGGCTTTAAGGAAATACAAGATTACATAAAGCTCTAATATCCTATTCTATCACTATAGGTGTCATTTATTCTTAATATTTAATCCAAGTGTAATTGAAGAGTGACAATTCATGACAGCTCATGGAGCGAGCCGCGAGGACGCATCCATTAAGATGATGCAGAGCTTCTATGGAAACCCTTCCTGCAGAGACCACCCTTCAGGGGCCGTCTATAACTCAGGAGGTGGCGTCCTTCCTCCTGTGGCCTCAGTGTGACTTAGAAAGGGCTGTGCCGGCAGAGAGCACTGGTGTCAGAGGTGTCTGGCGTCTTACAATCCTCTTAGCAGCCTTAATTATTCAGCACCACAGCTTTTACATCCATTTCAGCAGCCAGGGTTACATTTCACTCTCCCGAGTCTCCTGCTAGTGCAAGTCAGAGTAGAGACATCAGTATCCGTCACAATGGAAACAGGTATTTCCAAGGTCTGTCTGAATGCATTGGTTTCCGTGTTGTTTCAGGACAAGGGATGGTCACGTCCAGTTCTGGACAGCTCCCCGGGTCCTGTCATCACTGAAGCACTTATGCCGGAAAGCCCTGCGAAGTTTCCTCACCACCTACCAAGTGCTGGCACTGCCAATCCCCAAGAAAATGAAAGAGTTCCTCACGTACAGGACTTTGTAAGCAGCGCTACACGATCGCGTGTGTTTTCTCTGTAGCAGACACAGCTCCTGGCGAAGGAGTAGCTGGGATCATGGGCCAAACATCTGGTCTTGGATGGACATAGTTTCTCTTTGGAATTGCTAACAGAATGTAGCAAAACCAGATTCCAGTGGACTCGTCATGGATCTTCTCCCCTCGACACATCAGTCATAGAGGAGGGGACTCGACCTCCGTGGCCACAGCGCCTTATCTTCAATCTTCAGTCCACTCAGAAACAGTTTTGAATTCTAGTAGTTTTGATTCAAAGTGCAGATAATGAGGTTTTGGTAAGGAGTTATAGGCCTCGCGAGCCTCTGTAGCGGCCGAGGGGTTTCAGCTCCCTCTGCTGGGAAGTGTGGCTCCTGCCTAGTCCTGGCCGTTTCAGATGCGGCAGCAGCGGCCTTGTTTCAGCTCCTCTCCTGTTGTCGGAGTTGGTGTTGGCAAGTCTCTCCTTCCTTTAGCTTCTCTCTGAGCAGCGGGACAGTTTCCACGGAGCAGGCTCTGGTATTAGCTAAATTACAGGTGACTCAGGCTGTGCTCCTGACTAATACACTATAATTGGCTTTTTCTTTTTTTAAACAATGGTGTGCATGTGCAGATGACAAACTTATATGCCAGGTTACACAAGGATTTACTCCTAAACTGCATGACTGTTCAGATGGCTGAGTTGTTGGTTGTTTGCCTCTCATTAGCATATTTATTTGTATTTTCTCAACAGATGTTAAGGTACAGCTGTGTTTTTCTTGATATCTAAAAACCATAGAACTTAAGTTGAACAGTTGTGAAGATGTCTCCTTGTGTAAAGCATTGTTGTCATCACCTCAGCTGATACTCTCATGTACGAGGTCTGACTGCTGCTCCTCATTGGACGTGTGAGCCAGTTTCAGCTCTACCCCTACACAAATATAGCTCCTTAAAAGTACTCTCCTCCAGTGATGTGGTTATCTAATCATTCAAACATAACCTGCCTTTGGGAAATTTAATATATTTTAAATAATTTTAAAAGAAATGCAACATCTTATCCTTTGGCTTTCTTACTAGGTGCTTTATGGAGGCAGTGTAATATAAAACGTGTTGAAAAAGGAGAGAAATCTCTCCTCTACTGCCTTTGTCCTGAAGAAAACATTTCTTTTCAAGATGAGAGACTCATGGAAGGAAAAAGTTAAAAGCTTTTGGCCCTTGGTTTCATTCCTTCCATTAGGGAAAAAAAACACCTGTAAAACCAGTGAGTACAGCCGGGCAGCTGGGGATGGAGTGGGCAGGTGTTTAATTGTGAGGTTATCCTGCGAAGTCGTCAACAGTGCAGTCTGGGAGCTCAGGCTCCTCGAGGCCCCCTTAGCCATTAGCTTCCAATGCTGCTGGCATCCTTGGGGAGCGAGCCCCACGGTGAGTGATGGAAACACCGACCTCTCCCTTGTGAAGAACAGCCTCCAGAGTTGCTTCTGTGATACGAGAGGTGAGTTTCATAGAGTCAGGTTGAATAAATCAGTGTCTTTATAACTAAGGAAGAGCCACTTGCAACACAACCAAGAAAGCTGTTTTATTTCCATTCGGAACAGCGGTATCAATGCAGCATGGACTACTGCAATGAGCTGCCACATCTACACCCCAGTCCATCCTTCCCAGTGGCAGGTGTAGAGTCAGGCTCAATCTCGTGCCCCCTCCCCTCATCCCACCCCCTGCAGGAAGTACGTGTTGTACAACTTCTGGCCCCTAACGACATAAAAATGAAAGTTTTCTCTACCGTCCACCCATAGTTAGGAGCCTGCTAGTAAGTCCTCTACTTGAAGAGGAGAAATAAAAAGACCAGTTTTGAAAGGAAGAGAATTGAGTCCATTTTATGAGTATAATAGTTGGGGCCAGAAATCTGTTCACATCTACTCTCAGAGTAGACACAGTGTCACAGACTATATGTTGATTCTGGAGATGTTCTGTTTATCTTGAGGTGGAAGACACACGGGCCATATTAGATTTGAAAGCCTTATAGTCCAAAAGGGCAAAAGCCTTACGGTTGAAATAAAGGTGTTTGCCTTTTTCTACCTATAAAACACAAGTGGGCAGTGCAGCAAGACAGTTGTTCACCAAAATTGTTCTGTCCACTCTGCTCCAAACAGCCACAAACAAGGTATTTTATATGTCCGCCCACCCATGCCTAGAACAAGAATTTTCCAAGCCTGGGTGACTGTGGCTTCATCCCCTCCCGCGGGCAGCAGTTGGTCCTGTAACCAGATCCCCTGTTCTCTAGTCACTGCTGGGCCTGCGACTGCAGCAAATGGTCCTCAGCGTCTAGGCCTCCGAGACAATCAGGTCTCTGGTGACTTGAAAAGCTGCAATGAGGGAACTCAGCTGAATCTTCTCACTGGTGCCCGCAGACAGTCTGTACCTAAATGAGATCAAAAGGTCAGAGCAGAGGACACCACACACAGCAGCCCTTCGACAAGAAAAGAAAGATCAGAGACTGGACGTCTGAAGGAGGCGAGCCATGAAAACTGACCCTGGGTGTCACCTGTGCGTGTCCTCTAACATCTTCTCTGTCCTAAACACTCATAATTTCTTCTCATCAATTTGAAGGAAAAGTTAAGTCTAAAAACTTGTCAGCAGTGTTCTGAACTCAACTTTGTTCTAGCTCTATAGAGAAGTAGTTTGTGTGATTAAGGACTATTTCTTCACCTACAGAAGGCACTGGGAGTTGTAATGAAGATTTCCTTCCTCTGACTTCACTGGGAAGGGTGGTTGATACGCCTGTGGTTCTGTGGTGTAGTCGGTAAGCAGGACGCTGCCATTTCATCTTGCCACCTTTTATTTTTTTATATATTTTAAAATATATATATATTTTTTGGTTTCAGAGAAGGGAGAGAGCTAGAGAGATAGAAACATCAATGATGAGAATCATTGATTGGCTGCCTCCTGGAGGGCGGGGGGGATGGAGCCTGCAATCCAGGCATGTGCCCTCGGCCAGAAATGAACCTGGGACCCTTTAGTCCGCAGGCCAACGCTCTATCCATTGAGCCAAACCAGCTAGGGCTCATTTTGTCACCTTTTAAGTGGTTAAGCCATTGAAAGCAAGATCATATTCACAGTAGTGATAAGTCACCTAATTTGTGCATCTGCAAGCCAATGAGGGCAGATTAGAGTTGGCCTATGCTAACAGTCGGATTTTGAAACCAATGCTTTTGTCTATTTAAATGACAGCAGCCTCTTCCCTGGGGCCTAATAACTGCTCACTGAACCAGGCAAAGTGGAAAATCGAGTTTGTTTACTCCCCCAGTAGGCCGTGTATGCAGAAGGCCTTCACGGCTGGAGGTCTGCACTGGAGCATTAACAGAACCAATGCAGACCAAGCCTTCAAGGTCTTTATCTTAAATATGTACCTGAGTCAGACCTGTCCTTGTGTTTATTCATGTTCTTAGAATAAGCACCTCACACCCTTCCCCATCTTTCACTCAATAATCCCACCAAAAACTGGGTCAGACTGGTACAGGAATGATTTAGACAAAAGATTTGGAGCCAAGCAAATAGAAACAAACCACCACAGGGAAAAAAGGAAAAGAATTAAAATTGGGAAGTGAATACTCACTCAATGTCTGCCATTTTGGTTAATAAGTGTATTCGAACTGAAGATGGGAAGTCAACTGGGGGGAAAACACAATCAAATGAATGAGCCTGTCATTCCTTAGAAAACAAGTGTTTAAAGATCAGATGGATAACACTTTTCTTGTGGCCTCAGATCACTAGATACACCTCTAAGGCAGCAATTAGGTTTTCATCCCTCCATCTTGTGTCTTCACCGTTAGCCCCTCCCCCGCCCTGCCCGTTAGATTCCAGAGTGACCAGAAGGACATGGAAGAGTCTCCAAGTTGCTCCTTTAGCTACGGGGTAGCTCTGTAAGTTAACGTAAAACCTGGTCTCGCTTCCTCTCCCAATTTTAAAAACAAACATAAACTATTGATTTTTTTAAAGTCAATTTATGCTCAGTTTTCACAAAGTACAAAGCTGGGCTTGAGCCAACCATGTTCTTGGGCAGAAGTTAACATGCCAGCCAGCCAGAAAGAGGCCCTTAAAGGTGCCGGTAGAAGCAACATTTATGGACATTCACGGACCCGACAACCTGTGCAGTTGGCTGCTGTGGAGGAAAGAGCTGATCCAAAGGCTGCACAACCGATCACCTGGTTCCCCAGCAAAGGCCAACGGATTGGTCTGGGGTGATTCCTACATGGAGAACCCAGGTTGGGAACCAAGTCTCTGTACAGAAGATACAACCTAGTGTGGAACTTACGATGGTTTAGTTAAGACTGTTCTGGTTTACATGAAAACAGATCTTCCTTCTCCCTCTCCTTTTGGGGAAAATGTTATTTTAGAAATGTGAATTACAACATACTACTTACTGCTGCAAAACAGCACTCTCCCCAGCAGCGCTAGGGGTTCAGAGTGTTTTCGGAATGAAGTTTTAAGTAACAAGACAAAACTAAAAATGAGGGGTTCGGTTTATAGTTCTTCATTCCTGTTTCTTTGCTTAAAAAACAAAGCCTCATGTTCCCTCTCTAATCATCCTTAACCATAAAGCAGGCCCCCTTCTGACGGCGTCTACACTGGAGAATGTGTTACCTCTGTGCACAAACAGGTGGATCTCCGTCAGGATGTCATGCAATGCCAACCCCTTCAGCGTCTTCAGCTCCATGATATCTAGAGAGGAACAGTTAAGGCAAAGGGGAAGGTTCCAGAACAAATGTGCTGCGGGTAATTTTGAATCCAAACCCTCATGAGCGACTTTAGAAAGCAGAGCTTCTCATCTCGGTACAGTGGTTGGTTTCGATGTGAAACTGCACATGAACCCCAACCCTTTTCTCATTTCCCTCTTCACTAAGGGCTTTCTGAAGGATGCAGTGGTGGCCGCTGTCTGTAGAGAACAGAACCAAATGCACTGCCAGGCGGCGTCATACCACGACAGCCAGCTTTTACTCTCACAGCGAGACAAGATCAACTGGCTCCTTGGAAACGACTGCAGCGCCCACCACGGTCCAGCTGCCTCTCTCCATCTGGGGGTCGGGTGGCTTCCGGGTACCCAGGTTAGAGTCCTTCAGGAAGAACTCGGGGCATCAGACATATCCACTCTACCCACAGCCATCTTACTCCTATATCTTACAAGCTGAGCAGAGCCTCACAGGGCTAACTTTCTTGCCAGACGGGGGAGGTGCTGGCTGTAGCTCTGGGGTCAAGTTCCGGCCTTGGGAATGGAAAGCGCTATTGGCAGGACGTGAGAAAGGATACTTCTGTAGGCCGTGGTGAAGTCTTGATTCAACATCCAGTCCAGGATGTTGGCGATGTCTGACTTGAGTGGGTGCCCTGTGCAGGTGTAGACCGTCTCCTCAGTCACCTTGCTAAAGGCCATGCTGGTGCTCTGCGCAGACAAGGGGAGAGTCACGGCGGCTGTGACAGCCACCGCCCAGCTGCAGGCAGGTCGGGCGGAAACTGCTGAGGCAGCAATAGCACCGGGCACAGGAGAGCTGGGATCTGCATTCACGTACACTGGGAAAGGTGGCCTCACGGCGGATGCTGCTGCTGTTACAGCTGTAGCATCCTTCCCTATTCTCCCCTTGTTTGCAACAAATTACTCTTTCAATTAATCAAAACACAAAGGGTGGGGAGATCGCGACACATTAGGTCAAGGTCTTCCCAGTTCTAGATTTCTGCATTTACAGAGTGGCCATACTACTGCTGATGTATTTCTTGAAAAACTATTCCGAAGCCACAAGTTGAGATTTGCTACGAGTAGCACTGTACCTGCAAAATGTTCAGAGCCCGTCGCATATCTCCACTGGAAAGAGTTATAAGCGCTTTCATCCCATCTTCACTTACATCAACTCTGAAAGGAAACAGGCAGGAGTTGAGAGGCCCTGAGAGCCCAAGCATTCCCCCAGGGAACAAGATGGCCTAAAATGATTTAAGATTTGGAAACAAAGAAAAAAAGGGGAGAGCGGAGTTAACCGCTCTCCCGATCTATGGGATCTAGAATTCACTCTGTTATTCAGGGGCGGCGGCTTCACGTGGGCAGTCACAGCCCACTCAAAGTCTAGAATGACCCTCAGGTAGGACCAAGCAGCGCTGTGCTGAGCAGCTGGCTCTGAATCGTGCTTCCTGGGAGGAAAGAGCCGGGAGAGGTGTGATCAGAGCCACATCACCTTCAAATAAGCAGCCGCGCAGCTGGGTTTCTTGCTCGGCATCTGATTACACGGAATGTATTATCCCAGGACCTTCCCTTCTAGTCAAAGGCGAGAGGCACTCGGCAGCAGGGACTTGGCAGCGTGCAGTTCCCAATGACAAAAGAAGAGGAGGGAACTGGGACCGCTTCCAGGGAGGGGGATGGAGGCAGAACCAAATGACTTTCCCGCACAATGCCCCGGACATGCCGCTAACGACCCTGCAGCCAGGCGCTCGGCTAAGTCCTTGACAAATACCACTCACCCCACACTCAGTTCCCGAGACCCCACCTTTCCTGCTTCCCCATACACTTACTTCTCTTCTTCTATGACATGTTCCAGGCGGGGGACCATGAGTTCAGGGGTCAGGGGGCCGAATCGGAACCTCGTACACCGGGACTGCAAAGCGGGGATGATCTTGGACAGATAGTTACAGATGAGGCAAAATCTGGTATTTTCAGTGAATTTCTCGATCACTGGCAAAGGAAAAGAAAACCCCCTCATGTCCATTCTGATTCTTCAAAGGACCCAGAAATACTGAATGGTCACGTGAACGGTGCAGGGAACAGGAATGTAACAAGAATTCAAGGATGCAAACAAATGATGCTACAGGAACAAGAGAGCATGTCACTGGGGGTGGGGGGTGGGGGGTCAGGACTGGAAATCACCCCCTCTCTTTCCAAAATCTGACCGACATGTCCCCCCCACAGGCCTTATGAAACGCTTCTTTAAGATGCACCAGGATTCCCTTGCCCTTGCCATCCCACCCATAAGACACGAAACCCAGTGCTCCTGCCCTTCGGATTCAATTCTGTTTGGCAGGCTGATGCTCCGCCCTCTACAAGGTGGGGAGGGGGTGGCTTTTTGCGGACTTTCCAGTGGACCTTGTCTCAAAGCCTTAGACCAGGGGTTCTCAAACTACGGTCTGCAGGCCACATGCAAATACAAATATTGTATTTGTTCCCATTTTGTTTTTTTACTTCAAAATAAGATTATGTGCAGTGTGCATAGGAATTTGTTCATAGTTTTTTTTAAACTATAGTCCGGCCCTCCAGCGGTCTGAGGGACAGTGAACTGGCCCCGTTTAAAAAGTTTGAGGACCCCTGCCTTAGAGCATGGCATTGATGAGAGAATAACCTGAACTCAGAGATACTTACGACACCAGCTTCACTGGGTTGGTACCCAATGTTTCTGCACAGGGATCTGCCAGATTGACAGTCACTCTGCAGAACAAGATGCCAGAGAAAGCCTGCCAAAGCTCCAGGACCAGATCTCTGTCTTCCTCCTTCTCCTCAGCCTCTCCTCCATCCCACCCACCCTCCCCATCCCCCAACCCCGGACACCTAAAGATCAGCCTTTCCTTTGAGCTGATTACCTCTGAATCTTAATGAGATGACCAATGTCCTTTCAGGAAATGAACTGCCCTGGGCCCTTCAGACGGACAAACCACAAGATCCTCTCCCTTCCCTGCCAAATCGTTTCCTTGGCAAGGAGCGAAGTAATGTCGGCTTTCTGAGTGTGACTAAATTTCTGGAATTTTCCTGGCTATTTTATATCTAAGGGTACCAACAACAGAATGTCCATCCAGCAGTTTAGGGATGAAAGACTTTCCATAACCTTCCATCAAATGATACAAAATCCCCAATCCTGAAATTGAAGCCAGCTGAAAAGGAGAATGAGGCACCACGAATCCCAACAGGGCTTGTGTCTTTAAGCTGTGGAAAGGGGAAACCCCCGAAATGGAGATATTTTGCCTAGATTGTCAGGTGGCATACATGGAGAAAGGCATACAGAGATTCCTCCGGGCCAGAAAGGAATGAAAACGGAAATAAGCCACGTTGTATCTCATGTCCAGAGTTCCCAATTCTCCGATGTGCTCATCAGCCAACACGCTGTACTCAGCAGCTCCCCCTACCTCTCCTCAGGGCATTCTGGGCGTCCTGAGTCATGGCATCCGCCTCATCCAGGATCACCAGCTTAAAGCCTTTCCTAGGAAAACAGACGGCACCACGTAAAGATTTCAATCTCACTTCAGCTTCAGACCCAGACCTACATCTTCGCATGGGCCATCAGGCCCTGTTCAGCCCATTTCTCCCAGAACTCTGGCCAAAGCTGACATCTGTGGTCACAGAGGAAACGCCCCCATCACTCCTTCAACTCTTTTTTTTAATTGATTTTTTACAGAGAGGAAGGGAAAGGGATAGAGAGAAACATCGATCAGCTGCCTCCTGCACACCTGCTACTGGGGATGTGCCCACAACCAAGGTACATGCCCCTGACTGGAATCGAACCTGGGACCCTTAAGTCCGCAGGCCGACACTCTATCCACTGAGCCAAACCAGTCAGGGTACCTTCAACTCTTAAAGGGAACTGAGGTCTAATGTTATTACTCTAGTGCCTTTTCTCCCTACCTCCTTCACTCATGCCTGTCTTTTTATCTTTTTTATTTTAGCCACCATCCTAGTTATTCATCCTGATCGCAATTCATTTTTGTCTAAATTCAAACTAGCTCATCCAGGCTTAGAATGGAATCGGTCCTCAGTTAACTAATAAAATGAAGTTAATGCTTCCCCCAAGAAGTGGCTAATACAGACTTAGATAACATTTTATTTCAATATTTGCATTTTAACTTTTTTTTTACCACCATCCCTGTACTAGATCTCTTTTTCATGGCTGCTTTTGACAGAGTCATTTCCCCTGGCCGTTATAAACTGGCAAAGGGGAGGCTAAAAAAAATTAAGCTGTATAGTCTCACTGACCAAAATCTCGGGGGAGAGAAATTATGCAAATACTTCTTACTTAAATATTGTCCTTGTGCTGGCAAAGCTCAGGATTGGTCCCCGAACGATGTCTATTCCTCTGTCATCTGAGGCATTCAGCTGAGTGTGGAAGAGAAAAACCGGAATAAATAAAACACATGTTGATGGACTATTTATGAATTAATTTACCTTTTCATCAATCTAGCTCAGCAAGCTAGGTCTCCAAGTCTAATGACAGCTAAGAGATAATCACTATGCACAAAACAAGATCACATTTGTATTTAAACTCCTTGCTCACTAGGTCATTCAGTCTGAAAGGCGAAAGACAGACTTTCCTCTCCCCTTGTGAGGACGATCACTGGCAAACTCGGGAGGAATAACTCAGTGGCCTGGTCTCAGTGACCTCTGACCCGAGCAGAATGAGGCTAATGTTAGCTACCACAACCTAGAGCAACCCGGGAGTCACCAAGTGTCTAACACACTGAGGTGAGAACATGTGTGGCAGCAAGGTTCTAAGATCTTGAACAAAAAAAATAAATGTTTTTCTTGCAATCAACAATATTGAGAATTTTGTAATCTAAGTGTATTAGTCGAGTCCCAGCAGTAAAGAGATGGCATACTCACATGCAGTGCTTTGAAGAGAATTACATGAATATGTTAAAAGGTATTGGTGGGGTATGGGAAAACCACAAGGGCTAAGCAGGAGGTCAAGGACTACTGGGGCCCATTACCACCCCCAGGTCTTAAGGGGTTGGTGGGGCAGTGGTGAGGCCACCTGAGAAGGCAGTGCGATATGCCCCGTAGAGGGGGGTGTTGTCAGCCCATGGTGGCTCCCAGGCAGGACTAAGCATCATTCTCCTCCCCTCTCCCACTCCTGCCCGGGTCCCTACTGGCCAAACCTAACCAGGAGCCAGAGGGTAAGGGAGCTTGTAGTCAGTACAGCTCAGCTTTCCGGACAAGAACCATTGCAGCAACGTGGAGAAGCCATCTGGAGGGGCACATGGAGGCAGCCAGCAACTGAGTGACCACGGCGTGTTGGGGACAAGCTGGCAACAGCACGAAGGTCCCTAGCCCTACAACTGCCTTCCTGCTAATGCCAATCCAGACCAAAATGTCAATTATAGGAAAAGGTGAGTGGACCTATCTTATGTCTGCTTCTTTCCCAACCAGCAGGACAACTTACTTGTGAACTAAAACAAAAATAGCAGAACTCAAAGAGACTGGAGTCCTTTGGCAAGGAAGAATAGCCCCATGTACCTCCAAGACCATGGAGCCAAATTCTTTGTCTTTGTACAGCTGTTTCGCACAGGCCAAGATGGTGGATGTCTTTCCTGTCCCCGGAGGCCCATAGAGAAGCAGGTGTGGCAGTCGGTCTTCACTGATGAATTTCTGAACTGAGGGTCAGGAAGAAAGAGACTCCATCAGTGTCTGAGAGCCTCATTCACTGTGGGCCCTCGGGTTGGGCTGAATGCACGGCAGCCCCACGTGTAAATCAGAGGCAGATGCAGGAATAAAAGACCTGAAGGACTCCACTCTTACCGCACCTCCCATAAAGCTCAACGAGGCTCTTCAAAGTGATTACTCAGCAGAGACAACACCACCAAGAAAGTGACACCGGTCCTTCAACTAGGATAACATGGATGCTTACTGGTACTCAAAATGTCCTGATGAGAAATGAGATCGCTCAGTGTCTGTGGCCGGTATTTTTCAACCCTGAAATACAATTTAGCATGGGTTACACCACACGTAAATGCAAGAACATGTTGTTATGCGCAAAAGAATCCTTTCATATCTTAACTAAAAGAGGAAGAGAAACAAAACCCTTTATGTTTGAAAACAGACCCGTGGTTCTCAACCAGGGAACATTTAGCCAGACCTGAAGGCATTTTCAGCTGTCACAGCTGGGTGGAGGTTGCTACTGGCACCTAGTGGGTAGGCCCCAGGAATGTTGCTAAAGATCCTATAATGCCCAGGACAACCACCATACCCCACCCCACCCCGCCCCCGCCCCCGATCAAGTATCGGGCCCAAAATGTCAGTAATGCGGTTGATAAACTAATTTCACCTCTCCAGCTGTCTGCCTTTACCCTCAGTGTGGATGGGCACCTATGATTTCAAGGTGAACTCAAAACTGAACTCACACCCAATACACAGAAACAGATAAATGGTGGTGTATCCAAACAAGGGAGTATTATTCAGCCATAAAAAGAAATGGTGTTACACACAACATGGACGAACCTTGAAAACATGGTAAATGAAAAGAAGACAGTCACAAAGGCCCACATATTGATTGTATTTATATGAAATACCCAGAAAAGGCAAATTCATAGAGAGAAAGCAGAGTCATGTTTGTCGGGGGCTAAGAGAGGGAGAAATGAGGAGCGACTGCCAGTGGGTATGTGGTTCCCATCTGGGGTGATGAAAAATAACTCGATAGTGCGACGGCTGCACCACATTCTAAATGTACTCAATGGCACTGAATTGTGCACTTTAGAATGCTTTCAACTATAAATTGTAAGTTACAATTTTTACAACGATTTAAACTAATGGAAGTTATTATTAGACGAGATCAACTTGGAATTTGCTGAAATTAAGCCAAATCCCTGTGGTCTTTAAAACATCATTAGGACAGAGTTGTGAGTACAGGTCTGAATGCAGACCACTTGGGTTCAAATTCAAACCCATTTTCTAGCTCTGGATCTAATGCAAGTCACTGAACCTTTTGGCTGTATTACTCCAACTGTAAAACTGGAATAAGGAACACTTACCTCCTAGGATCTTAGTAAAGATCCAACATCTAGTCGGGCTCCTGCTGATCTAACAGAAGGCCATTTAAAGAAAAGTGAACTAGAGAGTGTGATTATTATTTTAGCTTAGAATTTGACCAGAAATTGCACCGGACATGTTGGCACTGTGGCCGATGCAACCTCCAGACGAGGGATCGAATCCCCGCGCTGTCATCCAGGCGCGAAAGCCCCGGCAAAGGTCCTAAGAACAGAGGGGGCTGGAGGAGCTGGGGGAGGTCGAGACGAACCTCTGAGACCCCGCCCGAAGGCAGGTCCGGGACGCAGGGGTGAAGTCCTGCAGGCACCCGGCCCTGTGCCCACCCGGCCCCCTGCCTTTCCGAGAGGCGACCCCTTCCCCGCGGCAGCCAGGCCTCCTCCTACCAGGGCAGGTTCCTGATCTTGGACGTCGAGGGCTGCGGCTGCTGGTGCGGCTGCGCTGAGGCTTCCATGGCGGGCGATGAAGGCGTCCGATCCGCTGGAGTCGGCGCGCCCTCGGGGGTCAGCACGGAGCCCGGCCCAGGTCTAATCCCGGGACCCTCGCACTCAGAGTTCGCGCGCAAAAGCAGCTCTCGCGAGATTCAGCCGCTGCTTCCGACTTCCTCTCTAGGTCCCGCCCCCTCTCTGTTGCTAAGGCGCCTGTTGCCTAGTTACCGCGAAGCGCGGGTCCTCCACCTCCCTTGCGCTGCCCTCTTTGCCTTGCTGGGAACCTCCCTGAGCCCAGTGAGCGGGGCAGCAGGAGAGGCAAGGCCGCCCCTTTAACTGCCAGTCGTCATTGCAAATTAAAGTCTCACGGGCGACGCCCCGTCCAGGCAGCGCCCAGGTCCAAACGCTTGCCGTTCAAAGGAACAGAAAGCCGCCAGCGCTATAAAATCCGGAGGAAAAACATCCCCACATGACACGCCAGCTCTTGAATATAGATGCCATCTGAAAAGAGCCGGGGAAAACCTTTTGGCCCCAAAGCTGTGCGGTGAGTACTACGACGGGAAAAGCAACTCCAAACAAACACACTTTCAATGTGTCCCAAATCCATGCCCCTCACCCAGCAAAATGCAGAGACCCCACCTCCAGAAACAAGTCCAGAGTGACAACAAAGCAACAACAAAAAGAACTTCCGGTTATGTGAACATGTAACTGGAACGGGCCAGTTAATAGGCATGGAGGACAGGCTCCCTTTGATTTGAAGATAAGAGGGGAATTGCTATCAAAATTTTAGTGATTCTCCTCGCCCCCTCCAACCTCCCACCTTACCCCCGTGGTGAGGGGATTATGGACCACTTTTATTTTCTTCTGATTTACTGGGCTGTATTTCCCAGCAATGAGTGTCTTTACATCCTTAATAAAGGTTTTTATTTGTTATTTTTTTTTTACATGTTGAGGATGACAATATGGTAGATGAGGCTGGCCTGGGGTCATAGTATTCTGGCTCAGAAGTAGCTGTAGCTGCTCCTCGCCTTTTATTACATCACTGTCACTTGCTTTAGGAACAGAGTAGAGGGACAGTGCAGTTATGGCTTCACCTTGCGCCTGCCTGGGGCTTCAGAAGAAGGGGGTTAGCGGTGGCCTGTGGTAGGACAGTGGCCCTCCGCCCTGCTTGCTGCCAGGCCAGCTCTGATATAGTTGTCCAGGTCATTAGTATGCCACTTCCCCAGTTAGCTTAGGGCAGGTTGCTTCCTCCTCCCCCCACAATCTCTACCCCCCAGTGATTCTGAGCAGTAAGTGAAATAACATCGAGAAAGCATCCAGTGCATGGCCACCTTCTCTTTGCTTCTGGCACTCTCTCCACTCCTCCTGTTCTCGTTTTGAATGTTCCCTCTCAAACAAAACCTAAGGTACTGGCTGGTGTGACTATGCCTGTGAGGGTTCATTTTTTGTGTTATTTTTGAGATGTGTCTGGAGGATGTTTCTGTCAGAGGTTGGCATTGGAGCTAGTAGACTAAGTAAAGGAGGCCTTCTGAACCAATGTGACTGGGCATCATCTCATCTGTGGAGGGGCGGCCTCGAACAAAAGGCAGAGGCAGGGTGAATTTGCTCTCTTTTTTGAGCTGGGACATCCATTCTCTTCTGCCCTAGGACACCTATGCTCTTGATTCTCAGGCCTTTGGAATCAGACTGTCATACCTCCAGCTTCCCCAGGTCTTCAGCTTACAGATGGCAGAGCGTGGGACTTCTTGGCCTCCATAACCACATAAGCCAATTTCTAGAATGTATAAATAACTATAAAATATTTAAAATATCTCTTATATAACTAGGTTATTAATATATAATGTTATATAGTAATAATATATATTTATTGTATAATATAGAATATAGAAATATATTTTTAAATCTGCGAAAATAAACATAAATATAAATTACACGTGGATGTATATATATTTTATTTTTCTATTGGTTCTATTTCTGTGGCGAACCCTGGTCAAATGCCATAGCCTGGGCTCATTCAGGCACCATGGTAAGAGCCATCTTGCTAAGGGGCCTTTGCATTAGAAACATGATGCCGCCACTTCCTTGAACTGGAAGATGCGAACAAGACTGGATCAAGTTCTCACGAAACTGTGTGCACCTGCTGTCCAGTACGCTGGGAGCGCAGCATTCTTCTGGGTGACATATGTATTTGCAGGGTTATTGTGTGCCTCCACATGGATTGCCAGCTCATTGGGAAGCTAAGCTTTCAGCTTATTCACCCCTGTACTCCTCGTGCCAGGAACAGTGCCTGACTCAGAGGAAGCACTTAATTAATAATGAATGAATGAATGGTAATAGCTAATATTTATTAAGCAGTTACTATAGGCCAGACATAGTTCTAAGTGCTTCCTGTTTATTATATTCACTTGATGGCTATGATAAGCCCAAACTAATATCAGCCCCATTTCACAAATGGTAAGTAACTTGCCCATGTTCTGACGAGGTGTCAGGGCAGAACTGGATCTTACCAGGTAGCGTGATTCTATAGCCTAAGCCTTCGCCACTACACTAGTGAGGTCCTTGGACCAGCAGCACAGCAACTGTCCCCTGGGAACTTGTTAGAAATGTTAATTATTCTTCTCCCCACCCCAAACCCCTTGAACCTGAAGCTCTGAGGGGGGCCCAGCCACCTGTGTTGTAACAAGCCCTCCGGGGGATTCTGGTGTGATCAAATTTGACAATCACTGCCGAACACCCTACTGCTTCTCCGTCCTTGAGCTCTCCATGGCTCCGCTTTCTAAGAAAAAGAAGGGGTACTCACATGCATATTCTGGGACTACGAAGGTGTCATGCTGAATGTCATTTATGTGTGTGTGTAGTTTTGTTTGTTTCTGTTTTTGCAATTACTTGAAGATATAGGCCAGCTGTGGGCAAACTACGGCCTGAAATGAATAAAACTAAAAAAACAAAAAGACCGTACCCTTTTATGTAATGATGTTTACTTTGAATTTATATTAGTTCACACAAACACTCCATCCATGCTTTTGTTCGGCCCTCTGGTCCAGTTTAAGAACCAACCCATTGTGGCCCTCGAGTCAAAAAGTTTGCCCACCTCTGGTTTAGGCCTTTGGGCAAGTTGTTTAGTATTTCTTTGGATCTTAGTATTGGCACCTATAAAATGGGGAGAAGTGGAGGGGCCACATTAAAAGTACCTGGGGATTTTTAAAATTCCAATGCCAGAAATCCAACCAGACGAATTAAACTGGCCACGTGTGTGTGTGGTGTGTGTGTGTGTGTGTGTGTAGGAGCCAGCATTGGTATTTTTTTTTAATTTCAAGAAAAATGATTTTAAATATAATAATATTACATGCAATAAATATTAATATTTCAAGAAAAAAGATTTTAAGTATAATAATATTATCAAAAATATACTAACATAGTATAATATCAAAAAAGTTGTAGAAAATATAAGAAATCTGCAATTAACAGGATTACTTCTATTACATTCTAAAATATTTTTTTTCTCTGGCTCTATTTTTGTTCATCAGTTTATGTTGTTCATTACATTCCACAAATGAGTGAGATCATGTGACATTTATCTTTCTCCAACTGGCTTATTTTGCTTAGCATAATGCTCTCCAGGTCCATCCATGCTGTTGCAA